ATACTTAAAATATGCGATTGATTATATTATCATAGATTTGATTTTATCTGAAGATGAGAAAAAGAATTTCGCACTTCGCGAGATAGAAATAATGCTTTCTGCTATCGGAAAGAGTTTGAAAGACTTTCCGTTGATGCCAATGCCGGATTTAGAGATTCATGATAGAACCACCAATCGTATGATACAAGAGGAATTAGCATATGATATTAATGTCATGAAGGAAGAGAATGAAAAATTGGTGCATCAACTCACCGAAGAGCAAAAGGCTATATATGCAAATGTTTTGCAAGATGCTGAGAACGATCTTGGAGGGCTGTTTTTTGTTTATGGATACGGTGGAACTGGAAAAACATTCTTATGGAGAGCATTGTCGTCTGCTTTAAGGTCAAAGGGTGATATAGTTTTAAATGTGGCATCAAGTGGTATAGCATCGCTTCTATTACCTGGAGGTAGAACTGCGCATTCTAGATTTTCAATACCAATTGCTGTTAATGAAGATTCAACATGCAACATCAGCCAAAGCAGTCCTTTGGCAAAATTGTTAATGCAATTTAAGTTGATCATTTGGGATGAGGCACCAATGATGCATAAGTTTTGCTCTGAAGCTTTAGACCGTAGTATGAGAGATATCATGCGTGCCAAAAATCCAAATAGCTTGGATATGACTTTTGGTGGGAAAACCATGGTGTTAGGTGGATATTTCAGACAGATTCTACCAGTCATTCCAAAGGGCACCAGGCAAGATATTGTTGGAGCAAGTGTCAATGCATCATATCTTTGGAGAAGCTGTAAAGTATTTAGGCTAACAAAGAATCTCAGGCTAAGGTCATTGCAATCAGAAATTGATGTTCAACAGATTGAAAAATTTGCAAAGTGGATTGCTAATATCGGTGATGGAACAATTGGTGAGTCTTTGCATGGAGAATGTGAGATAAATATTCCTGAAGAATTTGTGCTAACTTGTGTTGAGGATCCAATTTCTACAATTGTTGATAGCATATTCCCTATGTTTCGCAGAGGTCATAGTGATATTCAATATCTAAAAGATCGTGCTATTTTGGCACCAACACTGGATATTGTGGATGCAGTAAATGAATACATGAATGACTACAATAATTCCGAAGGAAGGACGTATCTCAGTTGTGACTCGGTCTGTAAATCAGATTCAAATGTTGACATGCTTGCTGATTTGCACACTCCTGAATTTTTAAATGGATTAAGGTGTTCAGGAGTGCCAAATCACTCATTGACTCTAAAAGTTGGGTCTCCAGTTATGCTTCTGAGAAATATTGATCACTCATTGGGGTTGTGCAATGGTACAAGAATGATAATTTCAAAGTTGGCAGATCATGTGTTAGAAGCTCAAATACTATGCGGTGCAAGTGCCGGTACAAAAGTCCTAATTCCAAGAATGTCCTTAACACCTTCTGATCCAAGATTGCCTTTTAAGTTCCAAAGGAAGCAATTCCCACTAATGTTGTCATATGCAATGACAATAAATAAAAGCCAAGGCCAGACACTCTCCAACGTGGGTTTGTTTTTGAAGAGACCGGTTTTTAATCATGGTCAATTGTATGTAGCAGTGTCAAGAGTGAGTAATCCGAAGGGATTAAAAATTCTTATTTGGGATGAAAATGTAAAATAAAAAAAAAAAACCACTACAAATGTTGTATACAGAGAAGTATTCAATAATGTTTAATAAAATTTCAACAACTTCGCTATCCATTTAGTTTTTTATAATTATGTATACATATTGCCGTGCACCGCACGGGTGCAACTACTAGTGAGTAGTAAATAGTCAAGTAAACAATACTCACTCTTACTTGGACACCACACAATATATTATTTTCTCAAAATTTCATTATTTCTCCACAAATAAATACTTTCTCCACAAAATACAATTTTCTCCAGAATATGTAATTTTCTCCAAATACATTTTTCAAAAAAAAAAAAAAGAAATACAATTTTCTCCACATGATTTGTCCGAAATATAATTATAGTCCATAATCCAGTATTAATACAATACTTCGATATTTCGAGAATCACCACTCACAATATTACCATTTATCGATAAATGTACTTGTGTTCACATGAATAACATATATCATATAATATCACATATAATATCAATACATACAATACTCGGGGAAAATAATAATTTTGGTGAATATAAAATCTTACCCTCGAAGGCAAACTTTCTATCAACCTTAATAACATCCTAACCACCTTGATAAGAAACCTGTGAATCAAATAAATCCAATAATAATAATAAGCGAAGCATATTATTCATTGATCATCATCATCATCAATCTCAACAAACTTAGATTTGAACAAAAGAATTTGGAGAGTAGAAACAATTACTTGAAGTAGAGATTAAGTGAATGAGTTTTGCTAGGATTGAAGAAAACGCAGGAATATATTGAAAATCATGAACAACCAGTAGTGTGAGGGAAGATGAATGAATGCCAAATTCTATAAATTTGTATTTATAGGTGAAAATAGTAATTCGAAAGAAAAGTATAATAATTTATTTAAAAAATATAGAAAGTAAAGTAAGTAAGGTAATGAAATTATTATTATTATTAGTATATATAGATATATAGATTAAATTAAATATTAATTGTATAATGTATATAATGTCTATATATATATCACACGGAATATTTACTATATTTAATTATTATTTTACTACCTAATTTATATATTATTAATATCAATATATACATCTAATATATATGTATAATATCACACGTATATATAAATGAATATATTTAATTTTTTATATCTATAATTATTATTTTCATAAACAGAATATATATGAATTTACATAACTGACACTAAGTTTTGGGGAGAAAATTGGTTTGAAGGATTTTACTTTTATATATATATATATATATATATATATATATAATTATTTATTTATTTATTTAATAGTAATATACAAATTATATTGACATCTTGAAACGTATGTAAAATAGAAGTTCATAACTTCATATTGCATAGGTAACAAATAATTAATAATATATAAATTTTATAAATTGTTAAAGATCTCTTTGTATACAATATTCGATGTTGAAGAAACATATTTTCCATTGTCGCTACAAATAAGTAAATTAAGACCATTCGGATTACTAACCCTAGACAGAGCAACATATGATTTTCCATGAACGAAGACTATTTTTTTCAACAAAAGTTCAACCGTAGACAGCGTTTGGTCTTGACTCTTGTTTATTGTAATAGCGTAAGACAACATAAGTGGAAATTGCCTTCGCTGGAATTTGAATGGTAACCTAGTATCTGACGGTGTAAGGGATAATCGTGGGATCAAGACTTGTTCACGTGCATTACTGCCAATTCCCACTTGTTCAAGTGCATTACTTACTATGTAAAATAATCTTGGCTTCAACAACATGATCTGCCAATTTAGAAATAATTAAATCTTGTCCCATTGAAAAGGCCAGCTGAATGATCTATGTTTCGCAGTAGATTGACTTGAGATCCAACTTTAAGAGTGAGCGAGTAATTTTTCAATACCTACAAATTATTATTTTTCATTATTCATATGATGATAATTAATGACTCTTGTTCCACTGATTAATTTTAAGTATATTATAAATATAAATATTATTATTTAGAAAGTTATAAAAAAAAATGTATTAAAAACACATTGTGGATATAAATATACATGAAATATTCACAAATAAATTTGTATTCTACATTTAGAAAAAAAATAATATTTATAAAATGAAAGCTACATTTTAAAACAAAATGAAATAATATATACACTTTAATATACATATCAATTATAGGTTCCATTATTATGAACATATGACATTGTAGATAACAAAGGCATAAGAACTCTAACAAATGATTGTAGTATAGCACCCGTGCATTGCACAATATTAATTTCGCTCAATATTAGAAATATATATATTAAGATAAGAAACTATACATTGAATTAACATTGTGTTTCATCTAATCTATTTGAAATATTTAATTATATATATATATATATATATATATATATATATATATATATATATATATATAATAACTTTTTTTTTAGGAAAGTGTTAATAAACTTTTTTTAGGAAAGTCTTAAAAAAAAAGTTATTAAGACATGGACTAATTTTTTTTTAGGCCCAAAGACCATTTTTAATTAAGTTGCTAAAATATGGCCCTAAGCACATTTTTCTTACCCTAAGAGCATCTCCAATGGGGCATCAAATCTTCAAATTTTAACCCCATATCGCTATTTTTGCAACTCCAATGTGAGTCTGCAAAACTCCATAACGCCAAAAGGTTTGGCGTTAATCAACAATGCTGCGCCAAATTTGGCGCAACACTGTTCATTCACGGCAAATGGAAAGGGGTAGAAAATGGACTATTTTGCCCTTGTTTCTTTTTCTAATTACAATTGTATCATTTATTTGTTTTATATGTAATTTTTTATTTTGTTAAATACTTATATTTAAAGTTTGTATAATTAAATAAAATTTATACCATTTTAAAGACCTCATTGAGACGATCGAAACAAGACTAATATTGAATATATATTAATTAAAATTTCAAATACATTAAACATAGAACATAATAAAAGTTAAAATACATACCACATATGTAATTTAATGTACTAGATGTTGTATGCTATATTATTAGTGTGGAATAAATTAAAATTTTAAAAATATTGTTAAATTCGATTTTTTAAAATAATTAATGTTAATAAAAATTATTATTTACATGACAAGTTATATTAAACTAATTAAATTCGAACTAATAATTGAAAAATCAAATTATTTTAGTGTAAAAATTTGGTGTTTTGGTGTAAATGGGTTGGAGATGAATAAAATTTGGTGTGAGAATATGTTGAGAATATTCCTTCTGATGTGACATTTGTTGAAAAAATTTAGTGTTTTGGAGATAGATGGGTTGGAGATGCTCTAATATCTTATCTCTATCAAGATCTTTCTCAGTCTCTCTGCACTCTCTAACTCAATCTAGAAACCTCACAACCACACAATTTTTCTTTTACCCTACTTTTCCGTCTCTCTACTCTCTCCATCTCAATCTAGAAAATTCATACCCAAAGACCATTTCTTCTTACCCTAATTTATCGTGTCTATCCTCGTATCTCTCTGCTCCCTCCATCTCAATCTACAAACTTCACACCCTCTTGCCAAAATCAAACACGAACTCATCCTAGTTCTTCCCAAATAATCCACAATATCAGAAAAATTATACAATAGTTATCTATTTTGGTTCTCACATGAGTTTAATCCGGTCCTGGTAACTGATTTTGAACCAAGAAATCGTAGATCGTGAATGTTGGAAATTACGAATCTTACGCAAAATCAAAGGTATATATTGGTTTTTTTTGTGTGTGTGTTTTTTTCCGATTTATATAGTTTGATTACAATACGTGGTACATCCAATATTGCTTTCTTTATAGGGTTAGATAATTGTTTGAAATTTAATTTCGTCCTTTGGTGTTTAAAATTTGTATTCTGTGTTGAATTTATTTGCATGCATAATATTTGTATAATTTTCCTGCTTAAATTCATACATATTCAATTTTTTTACAAAATTAATTTTTAAAAATTAAAAAGAAGATTATCTATTGAATTACTTAAAGATTATTATACAATAATTTTAATTTTAATATTTAAATAATAGCTTTTAGTGTTACGAATTTACATGACTTAAATCCACATATCTAAATCTAAAATTAAAACTAAATCAAGTAAGAAATGAAAAAATTGTAAAATATTTTTAATGTATACTACAGTTTAAATTTGGAAAACAGAAAAAAAAATAATATTATAAGGAAATCTGGGTATTTGTAGAATGTAAAAAAATGAAGAAAATCTATATTCTCTTTAATTTTCTATTTAATAGCTGCGTTTTTATATTACATATGTTATATGCATGAATATTGTTGATAATTGTGGAAAAATAGTATTAAGATTAGTGCTACTGTACAATTCCAGAATTTTTGTTTGTGTTATAAATATTTTTTTAGTGGCCATTAATCTTGAGACTCTCCATTTTCCTTCTACTTAATATATTGTTTATGTTAAGCATATGAAGGGTTGTATGGATTAGTATAAATACATGTGAAGGCTTAATGAAATAAAGTGCTCATGTTTGTGCTCTACATCTTGTGTCATTCTTCTCTTCTTACATCTCTACACTTTATAATCTTATATATAATCTCCGGGTAATTACCGTGTAATCATCACGCGAGAACTAACAAGTTGATAGGCCAAATTACAACACGTTATCAGCACGAATCGCCAACATATTCCTTGGTGAACGGTATGCTCGGACATGTTATAATACATGTTTTTATACTAGGCAAGCATGTTCATAGGTTTCATATAATACATGTTTTTATATGGCACATGTTGATTCTACACCTCTTGATATGATTATGAAATGCATGATTGATATGATACATATTGATTCTACAATGTGAAATATGAATTGCACATACTAGTTCGTATATATATGATTGTGTAAATTCCTGAATATATATTTCCAATTTTATTTTTGATTCTTCAAATTGAAAGAAAAGCATGTGATATATATGTTTGTGTAAATAGAAGTGGCTTTTCGTATGAAGATGCAATATATGTATACATATTATTTTCATTTCGCATACTTTGTATGTTATATACCATATGATGTAGTGCATTATTATGTTTTTATGATATGTCGTTTGCATGTGATTAGCAATTCGTTTTTATGCCTGATTAGGCAATGAATGAATGGTTTTTAATTAAGATTGTTAAAGTTTATTTTGTGGAAGCTTAAGAGTGAGTAAGACTTTAAAGCTTAATTGATGACTTGGGAGCATCAATTAGGTGTATTGGAGAGTGAAGCACCGTACCACTCGTTGCCTGTAGCACGAGTTGATGCTATAAACACGAGTCGATGCTTGCTGCATCAATTTGGTGTTTGCCGCAACAATTCGTGTCTTGTTGCTTGTAGCACGAGTTGACGCTATAAACACGAGTCGATGCTTGCTGCATCAATTTGGTGTTTGTCTCACCGATTCGTGTTGCACCATTTTTGTTTTTGTGTATATGTGGCTATGAGTTTGGTTTGGAACCTTCAATTATTCTTTCTATGAAATGGGTGATAATTCTTCATGTTTGTTAACAACTTTTGAGTGATGAACCCCTCATCAAGACATGGTTAAGAATTTGGGTAAATACATATTATCTTTATTTATTCTCTCAATTCATGTATATGAGATAGGTTCTATATGAACCATGATGCTTAGAAATGGTAAATACATTTTGGTTATATGCCAAATTGTATGTATATGTATCCATGTATGTTCTATGATTATGGAGATCGAATGCATAATCGGTCCTTATTATGTTTGCATTGGATTATTGTGTTTGTATTAGAATGCTAAGAAACGGATATGCATATTTATGTAAAAGGTGTTTTTTCATCCATTGCTTGAACATGTATTCAAAATAGTGGTTTTTTTCACAAGTTGTCACATTGCTTCCTAAAGTTGCATCAAATGATGATCTTGTAGATTATGTCTTTCATTGGAAATGTGAATTTATTGAGCTCGCTCATGTCGATAGCAATTATTTCATTTAGGCTTTGGATATTGGAATATATTTGACATCTAAGAAATCGAGCCAAACTTTTGTTGCTAAGTCACAGAGAACCGATGCCCAGAAGGCACAAGCTCTCATTTTCATACGTCACTACTTGAACCACGATATTAAAAATGAGTATTTGATTGAAAAAGTCCCTATTGCATTATGTAAGTCCCTGAAGGACCATTTTGACTAATAGTCATCTATTGTCGTTCCTCAGACACAATTTGAAGAGATTAATCTTAAGTTTTAAGATTATAAGTCAGTAACTGACTATAATTCAGCTCTGCACAAAATAGTCTCAGAAGTGAAACTCTAAACAAGAAGTTTTAGATAAATATTTAATTGAAAAGACATTGCCAACTTTTCGTGTGAGTAATTTGTACTCCAACAGTAGTACAAGACAACAAATTATGAGAAGCATCCTAAGCTGATTTTAACACTTCTTGTGGCTAAGAAACATAACTAGTTGTTGATGAAGAATCAAAATGCATGTCTGGTTGATTTTGCACAGGTGCCTGAAGCACATAATGTTACCTAGTTGAGTAACTTTATAAGGGGTTGCAGTCGAGATTATAACCGGTGTGGTATGAGTTTCGAGCTCAGAATAAGAAACAAAGTGATCAAGATATTCAAGGACGACCAAAACTCATCGAGGCAAAATTCTAGCCAGAAGCAGGTTTGATATCAATGTGGGTGTGAAGGGCATTGATCCCTACGTGCCGCGCACCAAAGCATTTGGTCATTGGAGAATGAACCCCATCTTGATGATTCTAGCTAATTTGCCTGAAGCAAATATTGCGATAAATGCTGATAATGAAATGACGAGGTATTGATGAAGAAATGATTGGTGTCATGATAATGTTTTAAACAATGCATGAAAATATATTCATGGCCAAACAAAAAAAAAAGAGTTAGTTCATGCCTGAAGCATGAAGTATCCGAGTAGTTAGCTCATGCTTCAAGCATCGGAGAAGTTAGCTTATGCTTGAAGCATCCGAGAAGTTAGTTTATGCCTGAAGCATCCGAAAAGTTAATTCTTGACCGCAATATTCGAAAAGTTAAGTTATTTTTGGACGCAAATTATTATGAATGCAAAGTGATTTTACTTTGCTATTTTTCACTTTTTCCCTGCTAATTTTACTACTCGAAGTGATTATTCGGAAAGTTTACTTCTATAAGCTTAACTTTCTAATCTTACTTCTTGAATTTTACTTTTCGAATGTTTTTTACTTTCTGGAGCTTTATTTTCCGGAGGAAGTTTACTTCTCGGAGTTACTCCTCTTAGTTTGCATGCTTACTCATGAAAATTTTTTCTCATTCATGCAACATGATTCTCGTATGAAATTAACTGGTTGCTAATTCAAAATTGAATTATTATCAATCCCGGAAGGATTGCTATTGTCAATAAATTATGATAATAATCTTTTGACTAAATTTAAGATGTCAAAATGTTGAATCCCTCTCCGAGTATGGCTTAGTGCAATTCTGTGTTATTTAAGGGGTAGTATACTATACCCCTTTATAAGAATGATCTTTGACTTATGCCTTACATGATATGATTGATTTATATGTTATTAATTTGAAAGATAGGAGAAAATGATATCATATCAGTTTGACCGAAGCAAACGAAGGAATAAATCATTTCATATTAGTTTGCCCGAAGCAAATGAGGGAGTGAATTATATCATGTGAATTTGCACGAAGCAATTTCCAAACCAGTGAGTGAACTAATGTAAAGTTGAGAATAAGGATTTTTTGGGAGATCTTGAAGATCTATTTTATTTGACAAGCTTCACAGCTTCCTTATGATTGTTGTGTACCCTTATAATATCATTTGATATGTATGCTTTCATATCTGATTATATATGTTTCTTTTAGATGATTGCATATATGTTTTGGGTACTTCATATATTGCGATGCACTTTTAAAAGCTTTATAGACCCACATGATTTTATAGTATAGCATGAGTTAGTGCATCGCCTTGGGCAATTATATATTTTCTTGTTGGGGACATCAGTTTTATATGTTATTGTTGTTATCACAATATGGCCTGCTGCATATCATAAGTATTCCCCCTAACCTCTAGTACGTGGTATAAAATCAAACATTTCCCATCTGCGTTTTATTCACAATGTGCAGTCTTTTTCCTATATCACCATCATAGCGTACATTGTGGGCATGTATATGTTGATTATAAACCTCCGTCTGTTATTTAAATCTTTAGAGCCCATGATAAGGGATCAATATATAATTATGTACGCTGACTGCACACTTTATGAAGATTATTTCACGGCATTAGGGGGAGATAAGAGCTCAAATTTTATAGAGTGCCGAGAAATTCTATGAATGATTGATCTTCAATATTTTGAATCCACATACTAGGTAGACTGAACTAGAAGTTCATAAGAAGTAAACTGAACTGGAAGTTCAGAAGATAATTAATCTGCCAATATATATACTGATAAAAAGAGTGACTAGGTCTCATGTATCTTCCCGAACTTGGACCGTATGTATTTACCAATGCTCCTTGACGCCAGAAGCGTGGAGACATGTTGGTATAAAAGACAAGAATCCGCGGAAAACTAAAGCTAGTAGAAAATTTCGTCACTCTTGAAATCGCTTAAAGAAGTATGTCCTGCAGATATTCGTCCAGAAGACATTCGTCCGGAAGGCGAAAAACCCCAGTAAAATTATAGGTGCACCCAAAATCATAATACTGGGGATGCGGAATGACCAGATAAAAATATCTTTGGAAAATGGCTAGAGTCTGGTTGAATTAGAAATTGTCATTATTTTATATATATGGGAGAGATTTATGAAAAATGTTATAGTTGTCGACAACAGAATTGCCTTTACAAACTGTTCTCGTTATATGATAATCTGGATCCAGAGCTAGGCACCAGCTGTGCCTTGGTATTTTTTATGTATAACGGAGCAATTAAGGCATGTACAGCTCAGCTCGCTAAAACTGTATTCTCTTTATAACACGTACACCATTTAATGTTAATCCTGTAGGTTACAAATGGGTGTTTGTACGAAAGAGAAATACAAACAATATGATGGCATAATATAAAGTGAGTCTGGTAGCTTAAGGGTTTACGCAGAGACCCTGAATTAATTTTGATCAAATATTCTCTCCCACAACATATGGCATTACGTTCCGCAAATTAACATTATTGGCAGTGAATTATAAATTTAGATATGCAGTTGATGAACGTCATGACCAACAAACTTATGGGTCATTAGACGCTAATATTTATTTGTAAATCCCTGATGGATTGAACACTTTTGAAATAAAGAAAGTGAAAATCGCGACATGTAGCATTAAATTGCCAAATCTTTGTATGACTTGAATATTATTGACTGAGTGTTTTCCTCCTGAAGAAGGAATATGCAAATAATATGTACCATTATGTGTTCATTAACGAATTGCTAATGGAGTTATTTATTTATCTGCTCAGTCGATATTGATGGTTTAAATGTTATTGAAACATAAAGAGAGCTTGGTGATATTAGCTCATGCCAAAAGACGGAGTTTTGAAATAAAAGACTTGGGAAACCCAAGTATTGTCTCGACCTGAAGATCGAGCTTCTCCTTGAAGAAGTTTTATACACCAGTTAGCCTACTTGAAAAATATCTTGAAGATGTTTTATATGGATAAGTATTATTTACTTATCACACCAATGGTTGTCCAATAATCTCTTGAAGTAGATAAAAGACCAATTAGACTCGAAGATGATAATGAGGATATTTTAGGACTAGAAGTCTATTACTTCATTCCTATTGGAGCACTATTATTGAACTAGAAGTTCCATAATCGCATCAGGCCTGATATTGAATTTGCGATGAAATTGCTAGCAACATTTAGTGTTTCCCCCTACAATGAAAGTTGGAATGGTATTTAACATATCCTCCAGCACCTTCGAGGTACAAATATTTTGACGTTTATGTAAGAAACCAATATGTGGTTTTGATGGGCTATTTGGGCACTGGCTCTTTTATTTGATCCCTATGATGCTAAGTCCAAAACTGGTTATGTTATATTTTTACCCCCAATGTCCCATATGAGGACAAATAAGATTGTGTTGCACAAGCAAGTAATAGTTTTGTTAAGGGGAACCTTACAAAACATGTTGCACCTAAGTCCTTCTACACACATGAACTCCAGAAGAGTTGTAAAATTCTTATTGAGAATGTTTGCCCCACTGAAAAATCTTGTAGATATGTTCACTAAGTCTTTGCCTACATCCACTTTTGAATAATATGTTTATAAAATTGGGATGCATAGGCTTAGAAGATTGTTATCTTCAGGGGGAGCGATAACCCCTAGCTGTGCTAAAATGGACAATCTAGAGGACTCTTGATATCCTAAAGATTATGCTACGAAACCATATGGTTGTACTCTTTTTCCCTTAGCTAAGTTTTTCCCACAGGGTTTTCTTAAGCTAAGGTTTTTAATGAGGCAACCGATGTTGGTGCACTTGAGTGGATAGTCCTGAAGACCCTTGAAATCTTGAAGACTATGCCCGGAAGGCTTATGGTTGTACTCTTTTCCTTGGCTAAGTTTTTTCCCACTAGGTTTTCTTAGGCTAAGGTTTTTAATGAGGCAACCAGTGCAACACATGGATTAACATACTTCGTGTACTCTTTTCCTCGTCTAGGTTTTTCCCACTGGATTTTTCTAGCGAGGTTTTTAACGAGGCATGAGTATAGTTATTTAATGGCCAAGGGGGAGTGTTATAAATATTTTATTAGTGGCCATTAATCTTGAGACTCTCCATTTTCCTTCTACTTAATATATTGTTTATGTTAAGCATATGAAGGGTTGTATGGATTAGTATAAATACATGTGAAGGCTTAATGAAATAAAGTGCTCATGTTTGTGCTCTACATCTTGTGTCATTCTTCTCTTCTTACATCTCTACACTTTATAATCTTATATATAATCTCCGGGTAATTACCGTGTAATCATCACGCGAGAACTAACAAGTTGATAGGCCAAATTACAACAGTTTGTTAGTTTTTTTTTCGCATTTTGAGAGTTCTTTCCACTTCACATGCCATCAAAAGTATAATTTCAGTTTCTCCAACTATTTTTAAATGATTGTATCAACAACTTTTATAAATAAAACATGTCAACAAATACATAAGCAGTGTTTTGAATTTTTTTAATGACCTAGATAATGATGACAACCTAATAAATTTAAAAAATTATAATATGTATACTATTCATTTGCAGGTGTACAGGAGAGTGCTGCATTTACACTCTTTCTTTACACAAGACCAAAAAAGAAGATACATAGGAAGCCAAATTGGTCCAGATATAGTACACAGATTGCTTAAGTGGCGGGGCTGCGTACTGTGGAGGGAGGAGGGTAACCTTGGCGCGGGTAAACGGTTGAAGATAAGCATCCTTGGGATATCCTTCCGGTGAATAATCTATTCCAGAAACTCAAAAGTCCATCAGATCCATTCCCAAAAATTGGCAAAAGATGATTCAATCGAAGAAGATAACTGAAAAAAGCTTACCTTGAGGATGCGGCACATCGACGGGAGGTTGAAACTTGTAGTTCAGCACACAACGCGAAGTTGCGCACCAACAATCCCGTGGACATCTTCTTCTTTGATCCCATAAATATGAAATTTCTTTTTTTTACAGCTTCTATTTGAGTTGAAGTTGAAGTCTCTAAACATGTATCTTTTATCTTCTATATATAAGCGTGCAAGTGAGGTAGTGAATTGAATAGGCTACTCCTCTACAAATAGGAGTGGATACCAAGTACCAACTCTGCAAAGACGCAATAGGCCACTCCCCTACAAATATAGCCCGACACCTACTCTCTGATTGGTCAAACACTTTACAAAATATATATATATATATATATATATATATATATCTAAACGCTGTGTTTTTCTTGGGCGGAAAATGCTAAAATCTAATTGGCTGAATCCCTATGGCTTTTATATCTATATAGATATAGATATATAGATATAGATGATATAGATATAGATATAGATATATAGAATATAGATATAGATATTATTAAGGGTCCGTTTGGAAAGGATGAAAATGACTTTGAAAAATGAATGATTTTAATCATTAAAGAGTAGACTTGTTTGTTTTAATCCTTTGTCCCTTTGTGCACATTAGTATTGCACCCAGACGCACGAAAAAAAATTATATTATATTATAATTAAATATTGAATTACTACACTTTTCAATTGGATTTCTTTCCCCACCTGTGACAGTAGCTATTCCATGATCCAATTCGCTGTCTGATTTTATCCTCAATATACGCAAAAACTGTTTTCTTATTCCTCCCAATAAATGATGGCAAACCTAGATATTTTCCAAAATTAAGAGTCCGGACAACTCCTAAGATCTGTGTCACTTCCTCCCTATCATTTTCACAAGTATTCTTACTATAGCATATACTGGATTTATTATAATTGACCACCTGCCCTGACAATTTCTCATAAACAGATAAACAGTTCTTAGTCTCTGTAGCTTCCTGCATATTAGCCTTGAAGAACAATAGGCTATCATCTGCAAAAAATAAATGTGAAATTTGGGGGGGGGGGGGGAGGGGGCGCCCCTAACAACCCTGCACCCATGAATCAAGCCATCATCCCGTGTCTGCTGTAGTAACAAAGAAAGCCCTTCCGCACAGATAATAAACAAGTAGGGGGATATGGGATCACCTGCCTTAATCCACGCGTGGGCGTAACCGGATTACTCCTGGATCCATTAATCAGAAAATTATAGGATACAGTAGAAACACACAGCATAATTAGCTCTACCCACCTATCATCAAAGCCCAGTGCCACAAGCATTCCTCGTAGAAAGGGCCACTCCATTCGGTCATAAGCTTTGGTTATATCCAACTTTAAGGCTCCCAACCAACCACCCCACATTGCTTTCTATTCAAAAAGTGTCCTACCTCTGCAGCTATTAATATATTATCTGTGATAAGTCTATCAGGTATAAAAGCACTTTGTGACTCAGATATAATATTCTCCATGATAGGTTTCATCCTGTGAGTAATCATTTTAGCCATAACTCTGTAAACCATATTACTCAAAGCTATTGGCCTTAGATCAGTGACCAGTTTAGGAGTATTTTTCAATGGGGTTTTTTTTGCTACCTATATCTGTTTGCACAACCATTGAACGAGTAATGAATCGTTATTGGTGGGGAAGGGTACTGACCGGGGCATTCACTGGAAAGCATGGGATAGATTGTGTATCCCAAAGAAATATTGGGGGTTTGGGATTCAAAGATCTGAGAGCATTTAATTTGGCAATGCTAGGTAAACAGGCATGGAGGATGCTTACTAACACTAGCTCTTTAGTATCCCGGGTTTATAAAGCAAGATATTATCCTAAGCAGACTTTCTTTGAAGCATGCTTAGGAAATAATCCAAGCTATTGTTGGCGCAGTATTATGGCAGCTAAAGATATGGTATGTGGTGGGGTGAGAATGCTTAGATACTTAGGACTTAATAATCTTAGGACGTGCAGTGAGGCTGTGAATTTATCTATCATTGTCTGCTTAACTTCTCCTTACTCTATTCTATGCTTAGCTTAAGAGTTCTCCATAATTATAGCATCAAGGTAAGGATGCGAACCCCTAACTTACCGTTACGATCGGTACTGATCCTGTAAACACCGGAATGGCGCCAACGAGGAACCAGTCGAGAACCCCCGAGCTTCTTACCCAAGATTCGTTAGCCCAGAACCTACAACAGTTGACTCAGGTCGCCCAGACGTTGAGCAACGCCATCCTTAATAACAACAACCGACCACCCCCGAATGGGAACCCAGACGTGGCTCACCAAGTCTCGAGCCATCGCCCACCTATCTTCGCAGGGGAAGAAGATCCTACAACCCTCGAGGAATGGATCCGAACGTTCGACAAGATCTTTGAAGTAGTGGAATGCCAGGAAAGACGCCGTGTGGAACCAGCCTCATTCTACTTCGGACATAAGGTTGATCTTTGGTGGGTTCACGAGGGACCTGCCTGTAGGCAAGAACCGGGATTCAACTGGGAAACCCTGAAGGCTCGGTTACGGGGACGCTTCTACCCCGCGCATGTAAGGGCAACTATATACGCAGAATTCCTCCACCTGAAACATGGGATAATTACAGTGGTGGAATACCACAAACGACTCTTCGAACTAGCTCGTTTCGCACCTGAATTGGTGCCCACAGAGGCGATTAAAGTAGAGAAGTTTGTGGCAGGTCTCAACTTCGAAGCTCAAAAGGCTCTAACCGTAAGTAAGCCCAGGACCCTCAACGAGGCTTACGCTAGCGCCGCCAACCTTCACCGAATCCCAACCTCTACAACAGAGAGTTCAGGACCAGACCCGGAAAAGGAGTAACGGAAGTGGGAGACCACCTGTAAAGAGAACTAGAACGCCAATTAAATGCAAGGAAGTGAAGTAGCGCATGAACAACACCTTTGCTTAATCTTTAGTGCGAGGTAAGTATATCATGTTTACTTGTGAACCCTTTGTCCCAACTTAAAATATCATTCGCCCTTGAATCCCAGCCTCTCGATATTCATAATTGTTGAAACCCTTTCCTCGAATCCTTGGTTATCCTTGAAAGCAATTAAACACCCGTTATGCCTTTACTTACTCCTTGTTGCATCTAATTCATCATTAGAAACCTTAAATCGTTATGAGCCTGAAATCATTGCCATTGCTCTAATTTTGTATCCCTCTCTTTCAAAACCTTGCTAAAACCCTACAAGTAGTGTAAACCCCTTGCTTTGTCTAAATGGCGTGAAGATTGATGCTTATTAGGTTAGTGTTAGGATAGTTGTTAAAAAGGACTCGGCGTGTTAATCAGAGATGGCGGACGCGTAGAAAGTACCGTGCACTAAGCTTCACTGCAATGAAGATCTTACTTTGGAATAAGGACCTTGATGGTTTTAAGGCACCGTAAGAAGTACATGCGACACACAAAATCGCCAAACGTCATGCGACGTCGAGAGTAGTTAACCAAATGCATTCTAAGAAAGAGAAATGCATCACTAAACATTTGGTCGCTAAAGGATTAAATGGGATCGGACGACAAGCCAAACTTCAAGAAAGACCAAATGGGGCTTTTCGTTAGCCAAGACAAGGGAAAGACAAAAGATTGGACTACAGCCAGCTACCTTATGCAGATCTCAAGATTGCCAACTATGAACGAGACGTGACCTATTGAGCGATTAGTAAGGGCATGCATGAACCCTTGGGTAAAGGAACCACGGGTCACCACAAGGTGTTGACTTTGGTAAACAACTTAAACCCACGTCTCGTTTCCAAAAAGGTATTATCGATTGTTAGTTGTGAAGTTACAGTTGAACCCTACGATTCAACCAACTAGGAATGATTGACAAAAAAGAGAAACATGCAAACCAAGAAGTCGAGTTGAGAACTTTTGCTATGGACTTGCAAAGGCCTCAAGTCAAGCGCTAAAGATGGGCCGAGTTTCTTACAATATTGATTATCGTTCGCATCCTCAAAGAACTCCTTCAAGAATTTGTAAAGAGAAAGAATGTCGAAACATGTAGTGCAAGCCCATTCCAGACCCTAGCCCTTTTGTTTACCTTACCAAAGATCCTCGAATCCGTGTAGAATAAAGGAGACATCTTTTTCGTCCAAAGAAGAACAAAAGAAGACGATTAGAGTCGAAGGGACATTTCTTATCATAGGTTTTGTGCATCCACCCTAGGATTGCACGTTCAAGGGAAGTGTAAGGAACACTCTGGTATCCAGACCTCAATTACCCTAAAATATCAAACAAGGAAGTAAAATGACTCGCAAGGATCGCCAAGTCGTTTCACAACAAGAATCAGTAACCGACTGCATTTTAAGAAGGAGGGAAGTGTGCTAAGAGCTCTCACTACTAAAAACATCACCAAAAAGGGGCGCAACAACCAAATTTCAGGGAGGACACGAAGTCTTGCTAAGAACTTCATCTACCAAGGAAGAGATGAAATTTAATAAGACAAAGGAGCCAACCCGAAGTTCCTTGATCCTTAAGGAATCTCAGCAAGAATCGAGAGTTGAGACCTAAGGATTGACTGTGCTAACCAACTAGGTCAAGACTTTTGAGCATTTTGGGAAAGTATGCACGGAATTCATCACGGGAATTCCTTCCAAAGCGGTAAAGATGGATAAGACTTTAGCTTGGGAAGGAAAGATCAACGAAAACCTTAGAGACAGGCAGTGCCAAGACAAAAAGGGGCCATCAGTTCGTCGTTATGTCATAATCTAACGAAGCTACAAACAGGAATAATCACTCGAAGTCAAGAATACTTAACCCCATTCTAGCCAAATTCCTTTCCTTTCTTTGTCTATCGAATAACGTTTCGTTGAGGGACCCATTCTACCCTTTCAAAACTCATTTTTTCCTTATTTCAAATGATACCATACAAGGTGGCAACCTTATTTCCTAAGTTGCAACTTTGGAAACTTTGATCCTATTTCCTATACTAATTGACTTTGTCCTCAAGTTTGAAACCCGAATCGTCCACTCTCATTATCCTTCCAACCCCAATCTTCCTCAAAACCTAGTATACGTAGATATATAATTATATATTCTCCCCCGTAGGATAATTTCCATTTATAACCACCGTACTAGTTTTGACTCCTTATCCCCAAAATAATTTCTAAGCTTCAGGGACGAAGCTTCTTGTGGGGGGGGGGGGGGGAGAGAGTGTAACACCCCGTGTTACGCTCTTTAATCCCAGATTAATTATTTAATTAATTCTGTTAAAGAATAGTTAAAAAGGATTTAATCTGGCGAGGATCCCGTAATTAATTAATGTGATCCACGAAGGACCGTGGACCCTTGTTTATAATAGGGACTTTA